ATGTCACATCTGTATTTTCTAAATTAAGATACCTCATAGAAACTGATATCTGCTCTTGATGGCTGGCATCACGGGTACAATCAAGTAAAATAGAAAAATATTTCACTTGTTTCATCTTATTTAAAATAATTTGTTTTATATTATCCCATAATATGCTAATTGTATCATTTTGAATTTTATCTAAGGTAATGAGGCTTATTTTTTGAATTTCGTTAATATTAGGACATGATAGGGACAAATTTTGTGATCATTTCTATACACTTTAAAAAAATTATTATTTCTTTCGAATTATTTGTTACTGAATCCACAAAAGGCTAAGTTTTGCTTGGCTAAAAACTGAATGGTATAGATAATTCTTTCAATTGCAGTGCGTTAATGCTTAGTTTCTTTTTTTTTTTAAATATATTTTGAAATTTGAAATCAACAAGTTTATTCTTTCATAATCATTCTAAGAAATCGGACAAAAAATATAAATTACTAAAATGCATTTTACTGCTTTCATGATGTTTTAAGTGCTCACTTAAGTGGTTCCAGTCATCAAATCCAGTACTACTCAATTTTACGTTACTGACAAATGCAAATTTTGCAACAAAAACAATACACAGAATTTTTTCCCTTAGAACATAGCAATCAATCCCTTTTGACGTTTTCATTATTTGGCAAGATTCGACAAAAAGTACATCTCAAAAAATTTACATCCATATACATATCATTACATTCAAATGCATATCTAATGCAGAAACTGTAGATATCACAATTATTTCGACCAGCTGCATTGAAGTTAAAGGTAATATGTGGCTGAAAACAATTTCTGACTCTTTCTGGTTATTAGTTTTTTTTTTTTTTTTTTCGGGGGGGGGGGGGGGGGGGTAATTTTAATGGTACCTGAGACGTTGATGAACAAATAATGCTGGTAGTGTCAGCTTGGGTATTCTGTAGGTTTTGGATAAACTAAGTAAATTTAAAGTTCTGGTTTATTAAATCTTCCTTTCGTTTTCTTTTCTTGAGTAAATTCTGATACCCAGACAGGTTTTTCTATTTTTCTTCTGACATCTGGGAAAAAATGAAAACAGAAAAAGTGGAAGTAAAAATAAAAGTAGAAAATAACTATTATAAGAACCACTTCTTGTTAAAAACACTCGGAAAGTCACTGTTTGAAATATTTTACATTCCTTCTGAAAAACTAAGTACATCTAAAACCATTGCCGGTAAAAAAAAAACTATTAGATCAATATCAAATAATTCAAGAAGGTAGTGGCACTCTTTTGTTTATTAAAATAAATAAATCAAATTTAAAGTATGTATTTAAGATGTGATGAAATAACGAACAAGTTTTCTTTGGTTTTCTGTACAGCTAAAAATGAGAAAATGGCTAATTCGTAATTTCAGAGCACCTTGTATATTTTTACTTCACTTCAAATGTCAAATAGGTTTATTATAAATTTTGTGTTATTCCCTAATATGTCACTCTTTTTTCCTCGAAAAATAATAATTTTTAATTTAATAAACAAATGGTTCATATAAAAATTTTTTTGAGTAATTATGCTCAAATCCTCGTTTTCTGAATAAAAAAGCTAGCCTATGCTTAACATAATAAATAACTACACTTAATTTTTTTTTTTTTTTTTTTTTTTATGTATAATAACAATCACCAAAAAATCACCAAAACGATAATTGTTACAAAAATTACTATGATTGCAACAGTAGACACAAAATAAGCATTAAGCAATTTGTCGAATGCATCTACCCTTACCATATGCATCGACATCACGCATTTCCGTTTAAAGTACAAGTACCATACGCATTGACATCACGCATTTCCGTTTAAAGTACATAGCACAAGATCAGCTCAGCTTATGTCAAAAACTGAAAAAAGCATTAACTAATAAAAATGAAAGTGAGATAAATCGTATAGATCTTGTGTGTCAACTGCAATTTTTGCAAACTTTTGGAAAATATGTAGCATCATCGGTTAAAACTCTATATCGTTGTCAACAACATAGAGGTGGGCAGAAAAGAATTGTGGACATCAATTCTAGAGCATTTTTTGTGCCTAGTTGTAATCACAGTTCGAACCTTGTCATAAATGATGCTGCAGACAACAATTTATTCGGTGCAAAGTTATTAGATTTTAAGGTTAATTTTTAATTTAAAAAAAATAAATAGTGTTAAGCAGTATATTTGTTATCCAATGCATTTAGTATATTATTTCCAATGTTATTTTTTATAATACATATTTCTTCAATAAATATGTTTGAGTGTGGGTTTTAAGAAAGCAAAAAAATGTTTGAAAGCAAAAATGTATAAAAAATTAAAAGATAAAATGTAATTTTTTGTGTTTCTTTTTATTATGTTAATAATACTTCACTTTAAGTGTTAACCATAAGCAGTTTCTCTTTAATGTCATCAGTGCATAAAGGCAATCGCTAGACATTTGCACGACAGCGTAGATAAGGCTTGGCACGGGCCTGCCTGTAGTCACACAAATTTTGATGCAGACGTGCAAAAAACTGTAATGTGGTTGATGACTTTCAGGGAAGCGTTCGATAAAGTGCAGTGGCTTGTTCTTTATCCTCAGCTATTTCATACACTAAGTGCATGTCTGCAAGCTCTCCATTTGCATAGATTTTCATGCTCTTTGCATGGTACCTACCGCTCGAATGAGGTAATCCTCACTTTCCACTAGCACTCTCCTGTTACGCAACCTCTGGCGGCGTACAACGACATTTCTGGGCATGGGTTCCTCTGCAATTATTAAACCTTATGATGTGCCCTACCTTCCTCCTGAAGTTTGTTATTTTACACTTATGGGACACCCTGTATACAATGAGACCTCGGATTGTGAGTACATATTCTGAACCAAAAAAATATCTTAAATGACAATGTTGCATTCCACGAATTTGTGGATCCAAGACTGATTGATGAAGAATCAAAAGACAATTTATTCATTAGTATTACACAGAAGAGTTCCCAAAACCCGTTTGCAGCTGCTGAAAAACTACGATAAACACGCTGAAACAATCAGCAACACAGCCTTCAGGCCATAACAGTGAAGACAGCTTCATGGCAAGGCACTAAAGTACAGCTTCTGACTCGGCCAGTTGCTCTCGAGCTTATCTCTGAACTCAACATACTACTCAAGATATTCTATTCTGCATACAGGCAGAGTATATATACAGTACAAAGTAAGTAATCCGGACTCGTCGGGACTTCGGCGATTCCAGATTAGGGGTTTTTCCGAATTATAGATCATCAATTTAAATCTGATAAGATGGCATGTAAAAATTATACAGTCAAAAGTCGTTAATCCGGACTCGTCGGGACTTCAGCGATTCCGGATTATCGATTTTTCCGGATTATAGATCATCAGTTTAAATCTGGTAAGATGGCATGCAGAAATTAAAAATATGAAACCATAATTTATGAAATAAAAAACAATTATGATCTAAAGGGTATCAAAATTTACAAAAAGAAAAGCTTAATATTTATTTGTTTACTTTTTTAAACATTTCTTTCAATGTAAGTTGCTTCGTTTCATGCGATAATACTTTCTCTTTAATTCTATTAAACAGACATAATTTCTTGTTTAGTTACAAAGTTCCGCTGTTCAAGTCCTATAATTGCTGTGTTGAGAATACCGACTAATTTATCAATCGAAATGTTTTCGTTTTCAATAACCTCTGGGTCACTTTCTTCACTATCGGAAGCGAATTATAATGACGAGGAACTTGATTTAAACAATATCAAAGACGGAGTACATCGAGATGAAATACTACACTTAGTAAGGAATTATAAGCCAAATAAAATAAAAACATCTGCCCTGAAGATAAGGAGAGTGCTGACAGATCAACTTCCAATCCGCTGCGTGAAATTGATAAACAGATTTCGGATTTTAAAACATACTTTCGCTTTGTAGATATAAATTACATATTAGTAAATATACATCGGAAATTCTATTTGACATAATCGAAAGTTCAAGCTTACTTTTATGAAATTGCTCTAGCAGTCCGCAAAAAATAATAAGCTGGATCCAATTCGAAGATTAAGGAACAACGCAATCTGCAACATTAATTGAATTAGATAATTTTTGCTTAGATTATACCGTCCGTTACACATTAAACGCGCATGCGCAAAAACACATTCACAGACGTAAAGGTCTTACGCGCACTCGTAAACGCCTGTGCCCATGCATGAACACGACGCATGCACAGAAAGTTTGTAGCTTTGAGGTCCGGATTATAGATCATTCTGGATTATGGGTGTCCGAATTAACGACTTTTGACCGTACAATTAAAAATATGAAAACATAATTTATGAAATAAAGAGCAATTATGATCTAAAGGGTATCAAATTAAAAAAAAAAAAAAAAAAAAAAAAAAAAAAAAAAAAAAAAAAAAAAAAAAAAAAAAAAAAACTTTATTTGTTTACTTTAGTAAACATTTCTTTCAATGTAAGTTGTTTCATTAACATTTCTTTCAATGTAAGTTGCTTCATTTTTAGTGCTAATACTTTCTCTTTAATTCTATAAACAGAAATAATCTCTTATTCAGTTACAAAGTTTCACTGTTCAAGTCCTGTAATTGCTGTGTCGAGAATATTGATTAACTTGTCAATCGAAATTTTTTTGTTTTCAATAATGTTCTCTGTTACTTTCTTCATGATCAGAAGCGCACATGGGTAAACCCTTTACTGGCTTTACATGTATGTGTAGTGGACGCGCGCATCAAACGCACATGCGTAAGTTTGTGGCTTTGAGGTCCGGATTATAGATCATTCCAGATAATGGACGTCCGGATTACGGACTTTGTATTGTATATTGAAATGCTGCATTTTTAAGCAGAGTATTAAAAGAGACTATTCCTTTTACTAAAGGTATACATTGTTAATTTTTACTAATATGGGTATACAAAATAAAAAGTTTTGAAACTGTGAGTTTACTTTTAATACACGCTTATAGATTTCATAGAAGTAAATTAAAAGTAATAACAATAAAAACTCACCCCTAGAATTTGCAGGAAGTGATGCTATGCCACAGCCAGCTTGCACATATACTTTTAAATATGCTTCTGCATGAAGAACTGATAAAGTGAATTTGGCAAAATTGTGCTCATTGGTTAAAGTTTACTAAAAATTAGTGAAAAAGTTAAATTAAAAAATGGATCATATGATTTATTTTTAACAGATTTTTCATTTTCTGTATTCCTTACACAATTATATTACTACAACTAACTTGAGGGAAAAACTCCTCTAAAAATTAAAGAACCTACATCAATATAAAAATCTAATGTTTCTCATTCTTAAAATAGACTTAAAAAATTTTTGAGCCACAGATTATAAATTCATCCAAAACATACAATATGCCTAAACTTATACACTTTAACCTATACAGGCACATTACTAAAAAGGTATTCAAAACACCTAACTAAACATATACTTCTTTTCAATTCAACAGGAACATAATAACCTTTTAAAAATATTCAGAAACTATAAGCATATACAAAATACATCTAAAAACTGACAGATATTTATCTAATTTACCACATACACTGACAGTTCACGATTTCCTCCTTTCCCCCAAATCAAGACATGATTTTTTACACAAAATTAAAAAACCATTTCTTGAAGAAACGGCAATAAGAAATGAAGTCTTTGAAGTTGAACATATATAGTGCACAAATGTGTGAAGATCAGCTGCATTTAGCCTTTTAACTATCTAAAGTATTTTTAAATGTTAGCAGAGTTTCTTGAAAAATGTTTCATGCATTTGTCTATAAACAGAAATAGTATCCCTGGAGAAATGAAATGATGAAATATAATGTTAAAAAGCAAAGTAATCGTCATATGCAGCTTGCTTTTAACAAATTCAGCAATCTGCTGTGCTAGGATAAAAAAATTTTCATTTAAAAATACATAAATAGAATTGATACTCTTCTGTTATCGGGACTGGATTAAGAAATGCTCATCATCTAACTTCACAGCTACAGATAAATGAATGCCAGTTGTTTCAGAGGATTCAGAATAATATATCATTAATTTTTTAAGTGTGCCATTGATAATTTTCCTGCTGCAAACTGTATGGTTACTGTGTAATGTACATTGAGTTGGTTTAGCTTAGTTAATTTTTATTTTTGGATATTTTAAAATTATTTTCTGGGCATTTTAGCTATTTAGTTTGATTTATATTTATTTCTGGGTGTTTTTGAAGTTCCAAAAGACGAAATATTATTCTGTATACCTTCTATAAATGTTTCAAATTTGGTTAAAAATGAAATAGAGCATAATACAAATCAAATATCATTTGGCTTTCAGTATTTTGGGAAAATTAGGAATCATGAATAATAATGCACATTAGTATTTTGGGAAAAATTAGGAATCATGAATAATAATGAGGATAATGCACATTAGTAATAAAACCACCAAGAAAACCATACAACAATAAACTGTCATTTTAAAGCATTTTATGGTGTTATAACTTTAAAAATTTTCAATCTTAATGTCTTTCATATTTTATCCATTCAAACAGCATGTCAAATTTTATTGCATGTTTGTAAAAGTTACTCTACACTACGTTTCATATATATTTAGATTTTTAACAAATCATTAGTATCTAGTTTTTTTCCCCCAGTCTTCATTTTTATTTGCTTAATAATTAAATATTCTCCTTGAACCTTATGGCAAAGTAAATAAAAGCATAAAAGTGTGTTTGAAAAGGTATCTTTTTAATAATTGTTCCTATTGTTGTTTGCTTTATTCTATTGGTGAAATACAGAATTTTATGATATTTACTGAAGGTGTTCATGCACTGTATCATTGTTTTCCTTTTATTCTATGGTACTCTTCTGTTATTCAGACATATAGATGGATGTGTTCATGTATGTGTATATACACAAAGAGATATACTATGTATGTAGATATATGATAAGAAGAAAAATTATAGTGACCTCGCCAAAAAGTTACCAGGAGCTGTGGCTCCAAGAAATAGTTCAACAATGTATTTTTTCTTGGAGCCACAGCTCCTGGTAACTTTTTGGCGAGCTCATTACAATTTTTCTTCTTATTACGAGGGCCATCCAGGAAGTAGATTACGTTTCCGTCTGTGTCCGCTAGGGGCGGGGCTAGCGCGGCCATCTTGGGGTCAGAGCGTTGCGCAGCTCAGTCTGCATCTAGCCGTGCTAGTGAGAGGTTCGTGCTGTGCTCCGTTCAGATACTGTGACGGTTTGAAATGTCTGCGTTAATTGAAAATCCCGCGAGCTGCGAGGTGCGCTCAGTAATAAGGTTTCTGACTGCAAAAAACTGTAAACCGATAGAAATCTATCGGCAGCTTCGTGAAGTGTATGGGGACAACATTATCACTGAAGGTGGAGTGCGTCAGTGGGTCATAAGATTTCAAAATGGCCGAACCAATGTTCACACGACGAAGATCGAAGTGGGGGAGACCCAGCACAGTGACCGCCGAACTTCTCGAAAAAAGTCGATGCTAAAGTCCGTGAAAATCGAAATTTCACAATAACGGAACTTTCTTTGAGTTTTCCACAAATTTCGCGAAGTTTGTTGCACGAAATCATCAGCGAAAAGCTTGGTTACCACAAGTTTTGTGCAAGATGGATTCCAAAAATCTTGACAGAGGACCACAAAAATCAGCGAATGGCTGCAGCGTTGAACTTTTTGGACGCTTACCATAAGGATGGTGACTCTTTACTCGATCGCATCGTTACTGGTGACGAAACATGGGTGAAACATGTGAACTGTGAAACGAAATTGCAATCAATGCAGTGGGGGCACACAAGTTCTCCCCAAAAACCCAAGAAATGCATGCAAACAATGTCGGCAAGGAAGATGATGGCGACTGTTTTTTGGGACAGAAAAGGTGTACTCGTAATTTTGGTGGACTTCCTGGAAAGAGGCACTACAATAAACTCTCAAAGGTATTGCCAAACTCTCCAAAAACTCAGAAGAGCAATTCAAAACAAGCGCAGAGGAATGTTGAGCTCTAAGATCTTGTTGATTCACGACAACGCCCGGCCCCACACGGCAAATGTCACTCGTAAAGTTCTTGAATCTTTTAAGTGGGAGTTGTTTCCTCATCCGCCGTACAGTCCCCCGACCTGGCACCGAGCGACTTCCACCTATTCCCAGCAATGAAGAAGTGGCTGGCTATGCAGCATTTTGATGACGACGCACAGCTGCAAGAAGAGGTAACGAAGTGGTTGAAGGCGCAGGCGGCCGAATTTTTCGACGAAGGAATTTCCAAGCTCGTACATCGCTACGATAAATGCCTTAATTTGTATGGTGACTATGTAGAAAAGTAGTATTTGAGTGTGGCTTTCATCTGTATATAATAAAATTTGTTTCCTATACTTTGTTTATTTTTTTATTCCAAAACGTAATCTACTTTCTGGATAGCCCTCGTATTTCATAATTTTTGCAGCATATTGCGCAAAAAAAAAATTTTAAGACCAAATAGGTCTTACTGCACAGTACTTACTAGCTTTTCAATTTTATGTACATATATACATGCATTCATCATACATACATACATTTCTTAATCCGGTACCGATAAACATAAAAGTGCCCATTCTATTTATGTATTTTTAAGTGAAAATGTTTTTATCCCAGCACAGCACAGGAGAAAACAAGAATATATAATGCATGAACATCTTCAATAAATATCATAAAATTCTATACTTCAGCAATAGAATAAAACAAATGACAATAGAAAAAATTATTAAAAAGATAGCTTCTCAAACACACTATGATTTTATTTACTTTGCCATAAGGTTCAATGATAATATTTAATTATTAAGCAAATGAAAGTGAAGACTGGGAAAAAAAAAAAAATAGAAGATAATGATTTGTTAAAAATCTGAATATGTTTGAAACATTGTGTAGAGTAATTTTTACAAACATGCAATAAAATATGACATGTTATGTGAATAAATAAAATATGTGATATTAAGATTGAAAATTTTAAAGTCTATAGAAAAGATTTTGGTTCTTTTTAATAGCTTACAGCTTATTTTAGCTCTCTCATTTTCCTATGTGCATATGACATCTAGGGATGTCAGATCTTCTGTTCAGCCAAGTTCTGCATTTGTGCATATAGCGAACATGAACACCTCTACTAAGTCACCTGATACTTCCAACAACAACTCCACAATTGTGACTTCTGAAACACAACTGATTCATGTATTGAGAAATAAAATTACTCTATCTAATGATGCCACTTCAACCAGACAAATTGTCATTGATACCGAAAATGCTCTGAATCAAACACCTTCTGAACGCCCAACTGAGATTACAAACGAACTTCATCTTTTATTTGCAAAAGCAATTAATCAACTTCGTGAACAAGAAATTGCGGAAGCTGCTCAAACTATCAATGAGCTTAAAACTAATAATGATCAACTTCAGAAACAAATTCAAGACTAAAAACAATTCTGTGAATCCATTCAAAATGGAGGAGCTTTTTCTAAACAAAGAAAAAGACATCATAAACGATCTACCTACTCTTCAGATAGTGAAAATGAAGACAGTAATTTGAAAATTAAAAATAAATTTCAATACTTGGCATCAAATGATGATACCATGCAACTTGAAGAATCTATGGATAATGTGGAACCAACTACAGTCAAAAGTCGTTAATCCGGACTCATCGGGACCTCAGCGATTCCGGATTATCAATTTTTTCGGATTATAGATCATCAGTTTAAATCTGGTAAGATGGCATGCAGAAATTAAAAATATGAAACCATAATTTATGAAATAAAAAACAATTATGATCTAAAGGGTATCAAAATTTACAAAAAAAAAAAGCTTAATATTTATTTGTTTACTTTATTAAACATTTCTTTCAATGTAAGTTGTTTAAGTTGCTTCGTTTTATGTGATAATACTTTCTCTTTAATTCTATAAACAGACATAATTTCTTGTTCAGTTACAAAGTTCCGCTGTTCAAGTCCTATAATTGCTGTGTCGAGAATACCGACTAATTTGTCAATCGAAATTTTTTCGTTTTCAATAACCTATGTTACTTTCTTCGCTATCGGAAGCAAATAATAATGACGAGGAATTTGATTTAAATCATATCAAACACGGAGTACATCGAGATGAAATACTACATTTAG